GTGTGTCTACTTATGGAACCTTGTGGTGTCTATGCAATTACATAAATTCTATGTGACAATTTCGATTTGTATTTTCTTTTATTTAAATTATGCCTTCGGGCGCTACGAAGCAGACAGATAGAAAACAAGTGTGTGTGTGTGTGCGTGTGTGTCAGCCAATTGTTATATAATATTTATTACACTCTAAGCTCACACACCCAGAGAAAGAGAGACAGACAGACATTCAGTGACAGAAACAGACGTCGTTGTGGTAATTAATTTCAATATGCTCGAAAATTTGCATGCATATTTATTTGAAATTTTGGCATAATTATATTTATGTAATGTGTGTCAGCTGCTGTGGCATGTCCAGATTTTTCTGAGCTACGACTAATTGATGGACAATATGTGAAATCAAATGAAATCCGATGCGGCTACTGCTGCTGCTTGCCAATTAAAGAGCTCAAGACAGAATGCCAGCCTTGATTGCTATGTATTTAGCCCGGCCAGAGGGAGAGCCACAACAAAATCAATTGCCTGTCTTAGCCAAACCAATGTTTGAGTATGCCACATATGTGTGTGTGTATCTAGGTGCAACATGTCTTGGGGGTGAAGGAGGGCAGCTGTAGGGGCTGGCTCATGCAAAATTTAATTTTAATTTCAACTAAGCAAATGTTGCGAAAGTGAGAACAGGCAATTTCCTTGCCTTTCAAAAGTCACAAGCAAAAAGGATCGGCCCCGCCCACACTAACCGCCCCACTCGTTTCACTCTATGTATATGTATATCCTGTGCAACAACAAGAACAAGAGCGCACACATTTTAACCACTTGACTGCATTGTGGCTAAAATGGCAGCCAGAAGTCAAAGTCGCCGCCCGAAGTCAGTTCGCTCAGCTGTGCGCTACGCCCCGCACCCCGCCCACACGCCCATACGGTTGGCACGCCCGTCTGGCAACGCCAGTGTTTTTGCCAATTGACATGCAGACCTGCCTGGCAGCCGTAAATCGGCATAAATAATTCATTATTGCCGCCTCGTTGCGCATAAATCAAGTCAGCCTGCCCAAAGCCAGCAACACTGAGGTCACATAGAGAAGTTGCCTTAGCAGCAAACTTGAACTTTAGCCAGCATATAAAAGCCTTGACAGACTGACTGCCTAACTGAGATAAATACAAAAATAAAAGTATAATAGTAATAAATATGCAAAAAGGTAACTGGAGATGCCGGGGATTGAACCCGGGGCCTCTCACATGCAAAGCGAGCGCTCTACCACTGAGCTACATCCCCGTTGAACACTTGCCAGCACAAACTATACTTTGAGCTAACTGTTGTTTTCATTAGTGAACATGCGCAATAAATTAAACTGTTGGCAGGGTTTCAAAATTTACATGAAATAAAATATATATATATTCAATGAACACTCATGTATAAATATACTCGGTTTTGCAAAACTTGTTATAATACTGCTAAATAAATTGGTAACTATTCCCTAATTCTCGCTCTGATTTTAACATTTAAACCTTATTATTTGCCTTTGTGCACTTCTACTTTTATGCAAACAAATTGTAAGCATTGTAATAAATATATTCACAATAACCAAATCACAATTACAATGTACAACTGTTGCCTTGCAGTGCACTGCTTGGTGTGATGTCACGGCATACTTGCTGACATTTGGCTGAGTCACTTCAACATGGGGATGTAGCTCAGTGGTAGAGCGCTCGCTTTGCATGTGAGAGGCCCCGGGTTCAATCCCCGGCATCTCCAAGTACATTTTTTGTACTTTTTCCCTTTTTTAAAATACACAACCATTCAAAATGCTTTTTCAGTCGACTCTCAGTTGTTGCTGTGCGCTGTACTGACTTGAAGCGCGATCGCATCGATTCATGCCTTTGCTCGCCTTACATTATTGTTTTGCTTGTGAATTGCTCTTTTGAAACTGTGCACGATCGAGTTTCGAGTACAAAACATTCCGATTTGAGATCACAATCGATCGCATTTTGCTTCTTCATTCGTAAAATCGATAAAGTGATCCATGTGGCCAACAGGTGCGCAGCAACTTAAAGCAAGCAAACGTTTCAGCAGCGTCTCCCCGTTTGCACTATTGTTGTTGTTAATACTATACGCCCGCATGATCGTTTCAAAAAATACAAAATTGTAAAATGCACGACATGTATCGAAGAGAGACAGAAAGAGAGCAGCTACCGCACACCAACAGCAAGTCAAAGCGAGACGAAGCGACGCAAAGAACCGCAGCCAACGAAGCAATACAAATTGTGTGTTAACACGTGCATGTGTGCGCGCGTGAGTGCTTTGTATGTGTGTGTATGTGTATGAGGGTTGACGTCGCTCTCTTATGTTTTTATACGTTTTTGTTGCTGCCCATTGAATTGAATGCGTCAGATCCGCTGACTGGCGGCGCTGAGCGCCTGGCATTTTACTTAAATGATTGAACGATTTTTGCACGGTTTTTGAAATTAAAGTTCATTTCGGTTCCATTCACGTTCCCTTTTCCAACACACCCAACAGGGAAGAACAAAATTTAGATCTCTTATGACTGACAGCCATTGGTTAAATGCTTGAACATTGGAGCAATGCTCATTAGCGATTTTTTTTTTTGGTTAATGCGGATCGAGTAAGAGAATTGGCATTTTGCGTTAACTGAATTTAATTTTATTTAATCAGCTTAGCTGATTTGGTTCATTTGAAATGCGCCTGGCAGCGGATTTGAAAAAAAAGTTTTATTTTCTTAAGCTGTTGCACAACTTTTATCTGCTTTGGCCCGCCTTTAACTCAGCCCCGTTTGTTTGCTGCATATACATACATATATATTTGAAAAGAATATGCTCAGGTATTTTGCTTAATCTCTAGCAACTCGCGCTCTTTCCTTCCCTTCGGGGGCGGGCAGCTGCATTTAATTTCGCGCTGTTTCTTATAAATATGCATGCAAATAAAATGGCTGAAAAAAGGCTAGGGAATTTTTTGCTGCTGTCCCAGCCGGGCGGCAGGTGTGCCCAGTTGCATGCCCAAAATGTATCTCTCCCCGACCTTAATTAAATGTTAAGTGTAAACTTAAAATGCAATTGCAAATGCAATTTGTGCGCAAACTCTGAATGGAACTTTGCTGGTTTGTTAATTATAAGCAATTTCATAAGTTAATTTGCACACACACACACATGCTCACATGTGTGCGGCACAACAAATTTTTGCTTAAATTTCATTACGCCATAAGCAAATATGCTGCCCAGCTGCCGCTGCCTTCTCCCATCCCGGCCCTTGGTTATTTTGTTTGTTCACCAACTTTTACGAAAACTAATTAAAACGATAAGAGCGCCACTCGCTGAGATGCAGCCCAAGGAGTCCGCGTAACGTTGTGCCCGGGTACAGTCAGCTTTCGAGTACTTTCGAGTATTATTTGATCATTATCTGTGCTGCATGACTAAATTTCGAATTGCAGCCTTTGGGAGGCTTCTCTTGTTGTTGTCTTGTTGCTGTTGTTGTTGGGGCATATTAGTTGTAGGTGTATGCGGGCTGCACAGGCTGCTGCTTCAGTGGCCATGCGGAAATTAAATAAATTCCATGAGCTGCCGAGCTACCCCGATCAATCATGGCCATGGCACACGTCAGCAACCACTCAAAATGCCACCTGTCAACTGTCAACAGACAAAAGTACAGTTGCCAACAAAAGGCTCGTGTGTGTGCGACTGACCACCAAGGAGGCGCTCTACGTTCAAGTTCGAAAAATATTGCAGTTAGTTGCAAGCAGCAAAAAAATGCAATGTGCATTTTCGTAAATATTCAATCAGTGAGGTGCATCTTGTATTGTCAAAACATTTTATTGTATACAATTTTATAACATTTTTATAATAAAAAATGTGTTATAATAAATTTATAATAAACGCCAAGTTATAAATTAGTAAACTTACATTTATTTATATTTTAATAAATTAACAATCTTTTCTTTAAATTATGGTTACTTTTAAGGTTTATAACTTGACATTTGTTATATAATTGGAAGTAAACTAAATATTATAAATGTTTTAAAAACTTATAAGACTTCAAAAATAATCGAATGCAATGAGAAACTTTCATTGAATGGATAATTTTTAAAGCACCTAAAAGTATATCACATTAAGTATAAAAAGTTAGATAAAAAAGAGATCTCAAAAGAAAATACTTTTATTTTGCCCATGAATAAAACTGGTCTATTCTTTTTTTTTTATATTTTATATTTATTAAAAAAAAAACGCATGATCTTGAGCATCGAGCATTTTGAGAAATCGAATAATACATATTTGTCGCCTGTGTCTACGTCTACATCAATATGTACTTGAATGAGCTTTGTTTTCTGAAATCGCATCGGGTTGGTCAAAAAAAGTTGTCCGCATATGCATCCAGCCAACTCCCCAACACGCATTCATCCTTGGTAAATCCTTCAAACAAATTGATACGCCATGCAGTAGATGCAGTCGGTTGGAAACAACGGTGGCTACTACTGATAAGCGAGTCTCAATTGTCAACAGACAATGGCATTAACGCTTGAGAGTGAAAGCCATTGCACGAGTTATCAAATTAACTGAGCGTAGTCTGGGAACGAAATGTTAAATACCGTACGTATGTAACTATTTTCCCTTATGTGGCATTGATAGGCGCACCTAAAATTATGCTGCATGTGTATGTATAGATCTACTCAGGAGAAACAGCTGTTTGCAGTTCTCGCTCTCCCACTCCCTCTCACATTAACTTTCGCTCCTTTGCTGGGCTCTCATTTCAAGTTTTCAGCTAGAGGTGAGCGTTACTGTGATTTGTGCGTAGCTCATGCAAATAATATTAATTTTTCAAAATTATCTTTCTTATTTATAGCTGTTTCTAGTAAATAAGCTTAAGCTCCTCTTAAGAACTCTCTTTGTCTCTCGCTATGTTTAATCAGCACGTGCTTCTCATTTTTCACATCACAGTTAAACACTATACGATATTCACTCACGCAGCGCTCACACTTTGTTTGCAAATGCCCATCGCTAACAAGCTTTGAGCTCACCTGTGGCTTTTAGTGACTGGCCCTCTTGAAGTAGCGCCGCTGGCCCGGTCACAATCAGTAACAATTCGCCCGCGAAAACGGTTAAAACGTTGAAGCGCGAGAATTTCGATAGCGCCACGCGAGAAGAACTCGAAGAAGTGGAAGCAAAAAGGCAACAACAGTACAAGCAACAGCAGCAACAGCTACAAATTATTTTACGTGCGCATGCGCCTCACACTTTATCTTCGCAATTCGCCGTCACCGACTGTCTCTCCGTTTTTGTCTCTCGCGCACTTCCCACTTATCTTTGTTGTTGATTGATTTCGACTCCAAACATCAGTTCGCTTATACGTACGTGTATTTGCATGTGTGTATGTGTGTGCATGCGAAATACGTAAAGAAAACAGAAACAAAATAAAGTTGAATAAAATTGAATATAATTTAAAGAGCAGTAGAAATAAGTGCACAAAAACAACGGCAATAACAAGGGCATTAATACTTTTGCCAACAAAAAATCAAGCGACCAATACAAAACAAACACACAAACAGTAACACACACACACACACACATTAACGGATTGTTTATTAAAGCGGTAAGTTGAGGAGCTGTCAAACGCACAATTTGCATGCAAAACTGCATGGAAGTGAAAAAGTTTATGTAATGTCTGCATGCATGTCAAACTGTGTGGCGGCGATGTCGCTCGGCCTTGGCACAGTTTTACGTCCTGGGCACAGTTTGGCAAGCAAAATATAAGTACATTTCTAAAAAATATATCTTAAATTATTTTAAATTGATGCCCTACAAAAAACGAGACTTAAAAAAGCATCTAAATGTCGTATAAATAAATTATATGCAATTAGTAATTTTTGTGCGCCAAAAAAACTTAATTATATGCAACTAAATGCAATAAATTAAGTAAAACGCCATGAAAATGCAATTTTCAATAGTAACAAAAACATAAATTAATTTTTATATATATTAATTATGTGCTTTTTGTTGTTGTTGGCCATAATATGGGCACACGCAATGCGGCTCAAAGTTTGTGAGCAATCAACCTTAAAAGCCGCACGCTAAATAAACTAAATGTGTAATAAACAAAACATTTTTAAGCAAAGCAAAATGTGTTGGCCTGTTAACAGTTAACTGCTTTTAATGGCCATAGAAAACGGCAGCAACAACTTGCATAATATGTAATTGTTTTGATTTATTTTTGTGACGGCTCCTTATGCCGCCGCTAGCTGCTAGTGTTGTGTTGGCACGTTCATGCACACGCCGCTGCCCAACACTGCCCATAAGCCCCCACTTCCCCCCCTGCTGTACAAACTCACACCCATTGCATAAGGCCATTTGCAGCGCGTATATTTTTCAAATGCGACATGCATGCGATTTTTTATATATATTTTCTGCTTTTAGCTTTTTTTTTTTTAACTTTATTCGCTTTTAACTTGCTTGGGGTTTTTTTTTCATGGCGCAGGCGTGCCTGTGATCCCCCCACCCCCTTCACACACCACACACCACTGCGATCTTGGCTGGAATTTCAGCTATGCCTCAGAGCAGGTTTCGTCAACGCTTTTTATTAATTCACCGGTTCGGTTCACCTGATTTCTTGAGTGTGTGCATTTTTGTCGCGTGTATATCTGGTTTTCAAGCTCTTCTCACTCTTTTTCCACGCATTTTGTTCGCTTGTAAATGCTATCAGGCTGCGTTCTGCTGCGCTCGAAAACTATGCTAATTTAATTTATGATCTTGGCTTTGGCTATATGCGATCAAGTTTTAGCATTTAACACGCTTCTTTTTGGCACATTCCTGCGTCAGCTTTGCCATGTGCTAATAAGAAAGATCTCAAAATATTAAGTCCATTCTTGAAGTTCCGGAAAGCAGCATCTGGATCGCAATCAAAATGATCTTCAAATTGATATGATATGATATGCCCGAAATGGTGAAATACTCGTTGTTATGATTGATCTATTTGTACAATTATATTTCATATTTGTAGCATTCTTGTAGTTCCAGTCAAATGTTTGCTTATCACGATCCACGCTTCTTTTCTTTACCAAATAGCCTGGCTAATGGCCATGGCTGATAGCCTTACTTTAATCAGTGTTCAAAGTACTTGATCTAAATGTTCTTAGTTTCCGGGTATGGGCCTTAACACTGCCGGCGCCCAAATATTTCGAGAGCTGGTATTATTTGTCCCTATCTTGAACTTGAAGAACTTTATGCTTTTATGTGGTATAATCAAGCATTTTTATAATATTATTATAAACATGTTTAATGAAATGCTGTATTATTAAAATAATTTCTTCAAGTTTATCTATTTACATCGATTGAAGAAGTCGAACTTCGAGTCATGAGGTCCAAAAAAAAAAGGGTCTTGCATATAAGAAAATAGTTAGAAGAATATGTATATACAAAATATATATTATAATTCGTAAGGCCTAGACACACTGTAGTGACTACAGTTATCGATAGAACACGTATCTATAGAATATGAATATTTATTTTTAACTGAACATTGAGAAAACTTGCCTTGATTCATAGTCTAAATACTCATTAGTTTTCATCCAAGTCGCAAGTGTTTTCAAATGATCTTCCAGTCAAGTGCGAAGATTTAAGTATATATAAATTTGCCAATTTTAACAATTATAACTGTAGATGCCAAGACCCATAAAATTCCCATATTTATTCTGTACAATTTTGCATTGCATGTAATTCATTTTGAGTGGCATGCGAAAATCTGAACAATCGCATGAAAGCGCTAAACAATATGCGGCCCTAGGCATAACTCCCACATTAAATTGATGTCGGGTCTATAAATATTACAGCCGCATTCAATTTCCACAAAAGTTTGTTAATTTTTTTGTGTCTCTGCTGCATTGTTAGCAGCTTTCTAGAAGTATTTTTTCCTCACTAAGGTTTAGCTCGTAATTTATCTATACGAATGTTTACGGTTATTAGCAATTAATTTTTCAAATTCTCAAGACCTTGAGACGGCGTTACTTCTGAGTAAAAAGCCGTATGGGAAACTATTATATAAATAAACTTAAAGCTAAGCTCGACAAATCAATGATGCTTAGAAATTTGTACGTCTCGCCTATGATAAACACCTTTTGATGCGGGGAACTTTCGAATTTTGGTTATTTTGTTGTGCATCTGAAATATGCATAAATTATACAAATATCTGTTTAATTAAATGGCTGGACCATTTCGTCGGCTGTAACGCCCCAAAACAAACGAAAACGAAAGCGCTGAACAAAAAATAAATAAATACAATATATATGTTTTTTATGGACGACACTAAAAAAACATAATAAGAGACGAAGCAAAAGCCAAACGCGATCCCAACAAGCTGCGTTTTAAAGACAGCCAAAGAGGAGACGAGAAACGCCTAAAAAGAGCAGAGCCAAAGAGCCAAACAAGTACAAAAGGCAACACACACACACAACACACTCTTGGGCGCAACAAAAAAACTCAACAATTCCAAGCCAAAACTGGTTCTAGAATCAATTTTTATTTTCTCAAGCTCAACCAAAAAAAAAAGACACATATATATATAAAAAGAATCCCTCGGCAAGCTGAATGCACGAAAAATATTTTGAGGCAGCTTCAAAATGAATTTGGTTAACCAACCTCTCAGAACAGGCCAAACCCAACCGAAGCCAGCCAAACCAGCGGGCTGTCAGGCAGGCAGGCAGCCAGTTTGTGGCATCCAAGCTGCAGATACAGATACGACGAGAATCTCATACTCATGCCTACAGCAGCCGCAGCTTCTAAGCGACGTCTCTCTCTCTCTCTCTGGGCGCGCAGGCAGACGAGATCTTTTACTTTTTTTTTGTATTATTACTTTTTTTGTTGTTTTTGGTGCTGCTTTGCCAGTTGTTATTGTAGTATGTGCTAAAAGTATCTGCACACTCGCCATCTCGTCAGTTTGGCATGCGGCATATGTATCCGACAGATACGCGCCTGGCACTAAATGTCTGCGCCAAGTTTTTGACCACAACAACGCGACTTACATAAATTGTTATTGTACTTTTGTCTATCTACTTCTTTGTATCTATTGGTGTTATTTTCTTAGTCTAGTTCTTGTGTAGCCAAAATATATTGTTGGTTCTTTGGAGAGGTTATTTATTTTTTATTTTTCATTATTTGCTCAAGTTTGTGAACTTGTTATTGGACTTGATTAACTATCGAACACGCCCAATCCTCAGCCTTTGGCTAAACTAAGTATTTGGGCTTATGCTTATGATAGTTTATTTGCTAATATTTTTGGTTCAAGATAACTAAGTTGTTAAATAAGTTTCTTAATACCTCATACAATATCTAATGATCTTTAAATATTGCCAGATTTTTGTGCTGAATACATCTGTCTCAAACATTTCAGGATTTTCTTAACTTACATAATTTAAACTTATTGCAGATACATAATTACCTTAATTTATCTGCAACAAGATCAAAATTAGCTTAAATTATACAACAATTAACAATTTTCATCCAGTTCCCGCAGGTGGAAGACATAGTTCTGTCCGTACTATTTTCAACTTCCCATCTAATATAGAAAATACAAATACATTTTGAGTCCATTGAACAAAGAACCAAAAGTTGGAAACAACTATTTACTCCCATGTTAGTCTTGTGGTGAGAAGCTTGAAGCCGCAAAGTAAAATTGCGTTCATTAAACCTTTGACCCGCATTTTCCATCCAAGAGTGGTGAAATTTCTGAAAAATGTATGAAATAAATTTTAACAAAGATCTCTGAAAATTGCAAGCATATTCGGGTGGAAATTCCCGTTTAGCATACACATCCATTACATAAGGTAACTACAGTACCTATCACTTATGGTTTAGCCTGTGCGTTGATCCTCAATCAGTCAGCTATTTAGTCAGTCAGTCAGTCAGTCGGTCAATCAGGATAAACTTTATATATAGAGATGTAAGCATATGTACATCAATTCCAATTCAATATGATCTAAAAATAAAACATAATCCTAATTGATTTAGTCCCCAAAAACGAATTTGAAGTATATTTAATTGGGTGACAAAAACCATCCTCTACGCCAAAAAAAAAAGAAGAATGTTTTTAAAATCTTTAATCTGAATTTTAGTTGAATCTGGAATGCAAGCTATACTCGTATACTTATACAAACTTATGTATACTTATACCTTTACTTACTTAAACTTTCTTATAAGTATACTCAAACTTCCTATATTGCATTTTTTGCAAGAACGATATGCAAAATTACGCACTTCGCTCAAATGTCAGCCGTCTGCGCAAAATCCGGAAATTGATGGAAATTTATTCCGCCATCTTTTGAATCATCATCATTTTAAAACAATAATATGCATAGAACTCCACAATACCTTAGTTTAGGATAGATCGGCCTACCAATATGCTGCACATAAGTGCGATATTCAGAATTCTTTCCAAAATTGTAGTTTAAAATAACACAAAAAACATCTGGCCTTCATTTGCATTACTTGTCTAGTAATTTGATTTAATTTATGCAACTTTGCGCATACGTTAAGTTTATTTTTAGCATTTAAAGACGGCTCAATAAAATGGTGATCAAAATTCAAGAATATTTACATAGTTTC